CAGTCGTGTGAAATGTTGCGTTGGAACCTTGTAATCTCTATTAAAAAAAATGCTGGAATTGACTCTGGTAGCCGCTGTCTAGATTAGCTTATGTGAGTTTATACGGGATGTCCAGAAATCTAACCCAGCGCCTCTCTCAAGCAAGTCTTTTACGACCACTATCCAGAGCAGAGGTGAACGAAACCCATCTTATGGGGTCTCTCTTTTCAACTTATGCTTTCAACAGGCGCTGAGCCATTCAGCTTTAATATTTCTGTCGCAAAGCCAGTTGCATACGACCCTCAATAGGTTGATTTCAACCCCAAGCTTATATAGTGATTTAACTATTGTTTCCGGCAAGACGTTGTTAAACGCGCACTCAATGGTGAGAAGGGGCCCTACAGCAAAATCTTTATGAATAAATATTTCCTTTATCCACATTCTCATTGTGTGCAGTGCGGCCTCCACAGACCTTCATGTATCGTAAGCAGAAATCCCCTTTCTTCATTCTTCTTTCATATAAAGCAAAAACGAAGAGAGACTGATTGGCCTAAAGTCTTTACATTGGTTAAACAAGGGAGCTCTTTCCAGAGCCTTCAACCAACAAGGCACCTCTATAGCATTTTAAAATTGTGTATGAACGATATTATCCAGTTGCGGGTAGTTAAAGGGTTTCAACAAGTTTATCCGCACATGACAGGCGACAATTATCCAGCAAGTCGGAAAGGGTAATTAAACATTCGCACCTTGCCCCAATGGAGGCTTTGCCAAGGGAAGGTTTATAAGATAAGTGACCATCAAGGAGAAGCTTTAGTTCCTCGCCTCTCGGGTAGACAAAGGGAGGATTCCACGGTCCTCCGCGTGAAGGGCACTCTGTCTTATGGAATCGCTTAGCTTGCATGAGCGGACATGTTTATTCAGCGTGTCTTAGGAAAGTATCTGGTAAATAAAGTAATTAGGATATCATTCAAGAGTTTTGAAGAAAACACTTTTGGTGTTTGGTGTTTTTGCGTGTTATTGCGCGTCAATCGACGAAATAATACACAACATAAATTTAAAAATTAAAAAAAAATCCTGCAACTTAGAATACATATGTCGTTCCAGTACAAGCCGTGACTCCAGTCGGGCAAAAAAACTGCATGCTCGAAATTTTAAAACCACCACCACAAAGATCTTTTCCTTTTCGCAATATAATTTTTTCCTAATTTTTATGATACATACATACATAGATATGTATGAAAATTGCAGATACTACATAATTTCTCTTGAATATTTTCAGTACTTGGAGTTGCGCTTCAATCGTGGTACACGGCAACTACTGACTTTTGGCTTTATGTTTACTTTGTTTCTAATGCTGCCGGTTATCTTATTCATACCCTCTCTAGCTTTCTCACAAGGTTTGTACTTATATGCATATGTATGTAAATATTAAAATTTTTCTAATGCCGCATTTCCACTATGCATTGAATGGAAAAATTTCTAACGACAACGTTGTTTAACAAAAAATACCGGTATCATATAGAAAACAATTGTCATTAAAGGCTCAGTTATGCATACTTTGCACTGCACTGCATGGCATGTCGTTTTATTTAGAAATCAAAAATCAACAGACTTCTACATATGTATGTAATGCTTTGGGTGCTTTGGGTAACCGCGAACACCCGAAGCTCATTTAACAGACTGCTTATGTGACAACTCTCATGCAATGCCAAGTATGCATAACTGAGCCTCAAATCTGTTTTCACATAATCTTTTAATTGTTGTTTTAATTTTCCGGCATCCGGAACAGAAGTTTCGACTAATCCGTTTTTATAATTATGACGCAAAAGTTTAAGCTCGAAAGGCCAGATATTCTGACATACATACATATGTACATACCTCAATTATTATCACTTACATACATTTTTATTTTTTCCAGTCACTGGCCTTAACATACATTTAATAAATGCTGTTATCTGCTCAATTTGTGTTATATACACAATGTTGGTAAGTTTTCATGGAATACTTTTATAATTATAAATTATAGAAAAATTCCAAAAATCCAGTTTTAAAAAGTTATTTTATTGTCATTGACTCGATCTCTAATACAGAAATATTTCAGAATTTCACAACATTTATGAATATTCTTATAGGGTGGCATTAAAGCTGTTGTTTGGACAGATGTGGTACAGGCTGCCATTATGATCGGTTCCGTCACGCTGGTAGGAGTCTTGGGTGCGAAAAAAGTGGGCGGAGTGAATGAAGTTTTGAGAATAGCAGCCGAAGGAGGTCGTTTGAGTGTCGAGTAAGTTACATACATACAAATGTTTATTTAAAGTACCTTGGTTGGTTACTAAGTACCCATATAAAAACTTGGAGGCTAAATACTTAAGTACTAAGGTATTTAGTAATTTCCAAATATGTAAGTGCTAAACGGTTCACGAAAAGAAAAAATAATCGGTTATTTCTTTTTTTTCACCTTTTCAGAGATCGATCATATAATGAAATAAAATGTCATTTTCGGGATATTTTGAAACTCAAAAACTTTCCAGACTTTCTTTCAATTTCTTAAGTTTTTTTGGGGATTTTTCGTATTTTTTTTTAAGAATTTTTCTTAGTTTTTTTTTGTAGATTTGTCGGGACCTCTCGAAGTTTTGGGACCATTTCCTCCCTACTTGGTGGTTTTGTAAACGCGGGACTTTTTCAGGATATTTTTTAATTTTTTTTGACACATTCTGACATCCAAATTATTCAAATCGTATTTCTGGAATTTTTTGAATTTCTGTAGAAAGATACAGACGAGGAATGGAATCTTTTGAAATCTTTTGACAAAAAATTAAATCTGAAATATGTATTCGTCGTTCAACTCCCAGAGTAAAAAACATAAACCTTTAAAAGATACTTTCGAAAAGAGCAATTTGTTTTTTTTTTTATCAAATTCATTAAAATTTTGTATTAGTACTCCTTTAGAAGCTCGATATATCTCTCAGAAGTATACAAAAAATTTATGAATGATTGTAAGTAAGCCTAATGTTTGCGGAACATATCGAGCCCTAACCGCCAAAAAGATGTAAGTGACATTTTTTTTTTTTTCTTTTTGATGCGAAAATGTTCCTAGCGCATCCAGATATATTTCTGCATCAAAAATTTTGAAAAAAAAAATGTCGCAATTAGGCGCTTGATATATTTTGTGATTTTTATATCGCATCGTTATTCTACTTCAAAATTTCCAAAAATCAACTTTGTTAAGGGCCGGTTACTCAATGTCTGGTTAACACTAATCTGCGGTTTAACATCGTTATCGACGTCTACGACTCCATGCATACAACAGGGAATCGGTAACGTCGATAACTATGGTTAACCGGGGATTAGCGTTAACCAGACATTGAGTAACCGGCCCTAAGAGTCTTTCTTTGTTGAAGTTTTTTTATGCGCCTTTTTTCGCTGTCAACCTTACAGCTCGCGCCTTTTTTCGTGTCTAGTGACGTATATGTAATGTACAAAAAAAACTATTTGACTATCTAATTCCAGCTTCACCCTTGACATTCACACTCGCGCCACTATTTGGAATTGCTCCACCAGCGCCATTATTTTGTGGACTGCCTATGTGGGACTAAATCAGAGTTGCGTACAACGTATTGTGGCATTGCCATCACTTAGCCATGCGCGACATTCACTCATCATTTTCGGCGTTGGTTTCTTAGTGATAATGTTTTTCAATTGCTTCACGGGCATAAGTAATAGAAAAATTTATAATAAATATTTTTTTTTTAATTTTATTTAATATTCAAACTTGTATGTACTTCTCCTACTTTTTTTTTGCTCTAGTCATGTATGCGCGCTATCACGACTGCGATCCAGTGCAGCAAGGCTACGTGCAGAAACCCGACAAAATGATGCCTTTCTTTGTACAAGACATTGCCGGTCATCTCAAGGGTATACCAGGCGTATTCATCTCCTGCGTGTTTAGTGCCGCACTAAGCACAATGTCCGCTAATCTCAATGCATTAGCCGGCGTAGTCTATTTCGATTATATTAAGCCACATGTAAAGCACACCGAGAGGAAAGCTAATCTCATCATGCGCGCCTTTATATGCCTTTGTGGCGCATATAGCATCTTTGGCGGATTGGTGGTGGAGAAATTCTCTTCAATATTACAAGTCATATACTCAATAGGTGGCGTAACTATGGGTTCAGTATTTGGTGTATATCTTTTGGGCATGTTGGTGCCACAGGCGCATGGCAGGGTATGTAGCTTCAAACATTTGAAAAAAATAAATAAACCTGCAGTTTGTATATTTTCAGGCTGCCTTTTGGTCTGTCATCGCAAGCATGGTCGCCATGTTCGTGATTGTCATGGGCGCGCAAGGTCGTCTGCACTATAGTGCTTTACCCACCTCGGTGGAAAATTGTCCTACAGCAAACGCAACACTTTCGTCCAATTCTACATCTTTTTACACAACTTCCGCGACTGAAACTCCATCAACGAGTACCGCGACCAGTTTCAACATTTTTGATCTCTCTTTCAATTGGTACGTCATGGTGGGCAATTTTATTGTTTTTCTTGTTGCAATACCACTCAGTTATATTGTGCCGGCTGAGAAGGATTACAAATGGGATTTGAAACTATTGTCGCCTGTGGTGCATCCATTCGTCAAATATGAATTGACAAACACGGAGGAGTTGCCTGAACTTAAGCCAATTAATATTTAAAAAAATAGGTAGTAGTAAATGCTGATAGTAATTAAGAAGAAGTACAAATAAAAATAAATGTTCCAATTACGTCTAATTACACTGTCCAACATGGAAATTTTATCTGCCATAAGGCTAGTCATTTCATATTTTGGGTCGCTAAAATCGAATTTAAACTCAAAATTTCCCTATCACATCAGACTTTTTAAATATACATACTAAACTAAAAATGCGGTTTTGGCCTACTTTCGAGGTTACTGCCGTGTGGAGTACAAGTGGCATTTTTAATAGAATCTTTATAAAAATATGTATACAATTTTTGAAGGGAAACTTATTATTTTTTAATCCAAAGGCAAACTTTCTAAATGCACTGAAGTTGTTTTATGCCACTGATGTACATTAGACCGTACCACCTTACACGCTGGAGTCTAGGCTATTAAGGATGTACGGCGATTTTTTTTCGGTACAGTCTAGTGTACATAAATGTTTCATTGTATGAAAAAATTGGGATTTTGGTACTTAGTTTTCCAATAGTCTGAAATTTTCTTGAAGAGTATGCGAGTAAGTTCCAGTACCCTTCCTTGAACACTTCCAGATATATGTAGTATGAAAAATTCGGCTTATGTGGGATGTGCCACGCCCCCTTTACATATCGAAATTTTTTCTAACCTATAACCATCCTTGGGACGTGTGCGGCAGGTGTCCGAAATTTCAAAAAAAATCGGTTCAGGCGTTCTCGAGCTTTGCGAACACAAAAAAAATCGGCTTTCAAAATATATGTATATTAGTATAGATATGTATAATGGTAGCCGTTTTCATAGTTCGGACTCAGCTCAAAAAGCACTGGGTCAAATGTTTGGAGATTATACCTTGCATATATTTATTGCTTGTATTATAGGCTCAAGAAAACTCGCTAGTTGGCGCTAGAATCGAGTTATTCATAAAAGTCGTATTCGCGAACCGATTTCATTCAAATTAAAAATGTGTGCTACCAATATGATGAAAAATACGCTTGCTAAAAATGAACCCGCTGGGTGGCGCTGAGGTTCTGGTTAAAATTCATAATGCGTGTTCATTTCATGATAAGCAATGCTTCTGCAAGAAACTGACCTTATGCAAAAAAGGGAAATATTTAGAAATCCTGTATGTCTGGTCAGCTTTGACCCAATGTTTATGTTATACGAATTTACCGTTCAGATGGCTAAATTAAAGATGGAGTTTTATGCACACAAATAACACAAAATTATGTAAGTGGTCCTTTGAAGAAATTGCTCCGGGTGGCACTTAGCAAATGTACGGGAAAACTTTTCATCCTGTGAAACAGCAAGGATTCTTATGGGGCTTTCGCACGAGGCGATTTTTCAGGCAACTTTTGCGTTCAACTCACGCAGGGTTGCACGAAAAAGAAGTTGAATGGCTAGATGTTGGCTGGCGACCAACTTTGTTGAAAGCGATTAGTTAAAAGGCCGTTCAACCGAAAGTAGAATGCAAAGTTAAACGATGCAAACGCCTTTTTATGGAAAATATTTTGATATTTTGATTTTTTAGCCATTAAATTTTTTTTTTCGTGCAACCCTGCGTGAGTTGAACGCAAAAGTTGTCTGAAATATCGCCTCGTGCGAAAGCCCCATTTGCCCTCCTATAACAGAAAACGGTCATCTATGCTCTGCAGTTTAGTTAAAAGGGATTTAAATGGTTAGGCTAATATTCTTGTGTGAGGAGAATTATACTCTTAAGTTGTTTAAACCCAAACTAAGGATTTTTACTTTACAACCCCTGTTTTTCTTTTCAACGGTATTGTTCGTTTTTTTTCGTACGTTATTTTGAAACTGTCAGCAGTAAACCATTTAACGTTTGGAGGAGAGAACTAAAAATAAAATTTCAGCAGTCTTCTTCCTATAATTTTACTTTGTTTGATTTCCGAAAAGAAAACATGGTCCGAAAAAAAAAACATATCATTTTCAGGCTACACTTAAAACCAAGTTCAGTGTGCCTTGACACTTTTGTCAACTAAAAGTAATAGCAGAGTAAATATTTATTAGATTTCACATGTTGTGGGGGTGTTAATCTTTTACACTTTGATAAACCCGTTCATCAACATTATTACTTACCAGCTTAAAAAGTTCGCCGGTGTATACCTACATGCGTATGTATCTACATTAAGGTGGTCCAAAAAAGAATTTGAAAAAGTAAAGTCGGAATTTTAATACTTTCACGCCATAGGATTTTTCTATACCGAAAAAAATGTACCCCTTTCTTTTATTTTGTAATCCAAAAATATTTAGAGGTTGCTCAAAGTTTTCCGTGTATATATTTATGTACATACATATGTATTTTATATGGAAAAAAAAAACAATTTTAAAATCAATATTTTTGGATCTTTCTCTTCAGGAGGTTTCCAATAATAGTACCCAATTGTTTATTTAACAGATTTTTAATAGTAACTTTTTCACAAGTCACGCGAAAACCCAAAAAAATGCAATGGAGGGACCCATAAAAGTTCGTTAGTATTAAACAATTTTTGAATAACTGGGTATTCTTTTTTTCCTATAAAATACATGGAAAATTTTTAACGCTTTGAGCGAACACTTAATATTTTTTTGATTTCAAAATAAAAGACTGGGGGTTTATGTTTTTTTTTTTTTTTAATAGAAAAATCCTAGGGGTGAGAGCAGTAAAATTTTGAATTATACTTTTTTTTTTTGTCGGCCCTAATGTACAAATGTTTGTACTACGTAGCATCATTTATCTATTATATATTAAAAAGTGTCTGAAGGAGGATTAAACTCTCGCCAAATTCAAATAATTTTAAGGCAATATTTGAATAGCTCAAATGTCGCAGGACTCAAAAAAGTGGAATGTTGCAAATTGCAAATTTTCAGTCGAATGACAAAATGGGATTACGATTAAATATTGGAACAAGTTCGCAAATTCACGAAATGCTGACGTTTGGATGCCTTAAGTTCATACATACAAATTTTCTTTGGCGAAATACTACCCTCATACACTCTTAAATTTTTTCTTCTCTCCAAAATTGGTGCAGGTAAAAAAATCGGTGATATTCTTGAAAATTGTGTAAAAACTATTACTATTAAATGATAAGTGCATTTTTCCAATATAACGGACATAGTTTTAAAAATGTATTGTATTCGCTCGAAACTTGTTATTCGGAGTTTTTTGGGGGCTCTTACAATGAATTGTTAAATTTCAAAATGGCGGATAAATTTTTAATGATAATTCAAACGAGTAAAAAAAATCTTAAAAAGTCTAGATTATATTCGACCAAACTCAATAAACTTAAAAAAAATCCAATAAGGGCATTCCCTTAAACTTAAACTGAGTAAAACTCGTAAGTTTACGAGGCTTTTATGGGAACGCACCCTTTGCGAAAACGGCGTAAATAGGTGCGTAAAGTGACAAATCAACCAGGATTTTGTAAAGCAATTTTTGTTTTGTAGTATTTTCCATAACATCCCGCCATGTTTTCTCTATCACACTCGGCTAAAATACAATTAAAAATGCCGCAAATTAGCAGAAAACTTAAGTCAATAGAGTTAGTGTATGAAATTCATTCATTTTATTCGCGTATTATGCTTTTCATTTATTTTCATTATTTTATCATACGTTTTAGTATAAAAATTTCGGCTCCTCGGCAACACTGAAGTTGCGCATCAAATTTGCCTCGTAAATTTACGAGGGGCTCGTTAATAGAGCTCCATACAAATTTCGAAAGTTCTTTTACGTGGCTCGTAGATTTACGAGGTTTACGAGGCTTTTACGAGTTTAAGGGAAGACCCCTATTTTTTTATTTCCACATGTTATGTGAAGTACATTAGTATCTATTTAGTACATAAATATGAACTTTCGGCTTTCCTAGATAAGACTACATGAATACATATGTATGCACATATGCATAAGTACTTACGTATATACACATGTATGTATGTATATCTGCTTATACACAAAGATTTAGTAAGATAAGAATCCATTTTAATCAGATAAGCTGTGCAGTTATCAAGTATTTAAAGAAATCCTCCTACATGGCATACTTGAGTATATTTTAGCTGTTCGGAATCGCGACTAAACGTCTGAGAAGTGAGCAGAAACGTAGCGCAGTGAAAGTGAATCTTACTAAACTCGTACACGCGCGCGCGTACACAAAAAGATAAAGCAGGAATGTAGGCGAACGCGTACAAATAAAGGATATTGCGTGTTGTGGGGAAAACGGATTAACTGCACGAAGGAATTTACAAATTGTGTTTAGTTTTCGAAATTATACAAAGTAAAAATCTTACAAAAATGACTACTAACACTTCTACTACAATTGCTGATGGAATGGCAAGCATCTTGGATACAACAACTGTCGCCTCTTTGCCGGCTGGGCGCAGTTTTGTATTCGGCACCGCGGATTATATTGTCTTCGTGTTCATGTTGGTCGCCTCAGCTGCAGTTGGTGTATACTTCGGATTCTTTTCGAAATCGAAAAACACTACCGATGAGTATCTGATGGGAGGCAAGCGGATGAAAACCATACCTATTGCTATATCCTTGATCGCGAGGTTAGTTTGAAAATATAGATTGTTCTACATATACATACATATGTATGTACTTTAGACTGCATCACTCCAAATACAAAAAAAAAAAATCGGTACTGTGTTTCCATTGGAATTATAAAATCTAATATATATTTAGACGTCCACCAAAATATTTCGGAAAAATATTAAGATTTACGTGAGCTGGAGCGATTTGATAATACCTCCAAAAATTGAGTTTTTTATGAATAAAAATAGTTTCTTAAAGTTTTTTTTGAAAAAAAATCCCCTCAAATGACAGAACGGTTTAAGTTTAAAAAATTTGCATACAAATGTTTTTTTAAGTTTCAACGGAATCGTAATAATGAGATTTTTGATGTTGTTCTTTACTTTTTTCAAAGATTGATTTACGAAAAACTTGAATAACTGTACCAGACCTATTCCTATTTATGTAACTTGTGAGGTGTCATTGGAAAGATATTTTCTCACCCTTTTTATTTCTTTGCTACTAAACTCATTCAAAGGATGAAAGATAAAGGTAGGATGAACAAGCGTCATTCCAAGTTCAATTGAGATGTGTTGGTATTTGAAAAAAAAAATACTGGGACATGAAAATGCCTTTCTACCTAAATCAGAATAGTTTTGGCCCAGTTATTCAAGTTTTCCGTAATTCAATCTTTGAAAAAAATTAAAAGAAAACAGCATTGAAAATCTCATTATTACAATTCTGTTGAAAAGAGTTTTAAATATTTTTCTTGTCGATGAGGGGATTTTTTTTTCAAAAAGTTATTCAAGAAACTATTTTTCAAATCGGTCCAGCTCATGTAAATCTTAATATTATTCCNATTAAAAGAAAACAGCATTGAAAATCTCATTATTACAATTCTGTTGAAAAGAGTTTTAAATATTTTTCTTGTCGATGAGGGGATTTTTTTTTCAAAAAGTTATTCAAGAAACTATTTTTCAAATCGGTCCAG